AATAATAATAATAATTGCATTTATATAGCGCATATCCATGCTCAAGAGCATGCTCTATAGCACTTTACAACCATTATTACCCCAGCAGACCCCCTGAGAACACTCCGAAACATTCTCGGCTTCTGCGGAAGCATGCAGTGCAAGCTGCGGATTTCACGCGCTCAAACACTATCAAACTGACAAGATGGTTGTTTGGCTATGGCCGGTTACCCATTCCCACCTGGGTGAAGTGAGGAACATTTGTGCAAAGTGCCTTTCCCAAGGACACAACGTCGGGCCCCTGACGGGATTTGAACCCACGACCTTACGGTTGCGAGTCCGAGAGCCTAACCACTAGGCCACCGACGACAGGGCACATTATTGAGCACTGAAGTTGGACTTTGACTTTGGCTCCTTTCATAACAAGATGGAGGATGTACGGAAACTGCAAGACGAATAGGTTATATAAGTGCCGAACATTAGAGGTTCTACCAGGGAGTTACCTATTCAGAAAAGAAGGAGGAGAGATATGGACGATAGATGTTTGATAGTAAAGAAGAAGCTAACCATACCATGGTACCAGAACACGCATCAACCACCGACAGAAGAATGAGAAAACTCCGACATTGTAGTTCAAGCAACTCTTGCAGAAACTCAGAAAAGTATTGAAGAGAATTCTTCATCCTGCAGGAACGACGCCGAGAGAAACAAGATCATGGACGTGGCTTCAACTGCACAATGCATAATGATAAGATGCATCCTTATTCTGCAGAGTTTTAATTTCTTAAAGTAAATGCCCCAACCCAGTTCAGTGTTCAACGATACAAAATATTTTTTATTGGGAGGTGTTGTCGAATTGCAATAAGTCTTTTCCTGCAACTTTTGATTTTTTTTCTTTCTAATTCAAAACGTTTGATTATGTTCAGTTAGTTAACGTGTTTTGAATCAGGGAGAGGGTTTGGAATAAAGTAAGCCATTTCACAAACATGAAACTGGCCCAAAGAGAGACTTAATCCATTTGGGTTTAATTCTGTTTTCATACGCTTATGTTCTCTGTCGAACAAGTCTCTCCGGATTGCGTCGTGGAATGTTCGCACCGTTTAGGAAGCAGGAAACAGTTCTCAAGTGACACAAGACATGAAAAGATGCAGGCTGCACATACTAGGAGTAAGCGAAACCCACTGGATACAGTCTGGACAGAAGCAGCTGAGCTCGGGGAAACAAATATTGTATTCTCGGAGAGAAGACAAGCACCATGCGGAGGGAGTTGGAATTATTTTGAGTAAGTTAGCACAGAAGTCACTGATGGGAACCACAGGGGGAGAGGATCATCATGGCTTCTTTCACTACCAGGAGTAAGAGCATCAACATGAACATAGTACAGATCTACGCCCCAACAAATGGAGCTTCGGATGAAGACAAGGGTGCTTTTTACAGCCGGCTCCAGGGGGTCATCGACAAACTACCAAGGAAGGATGTCAACATCATAATGGGCTTAAGCCAATGAAAAGATTGGTCAGGACAACGTAAGTTATGGGGGAATCATGGGACAACATGGCTTGGGACAAATGAATGAGAACGGTGAGTGATCTGCAAATACCTGTGCTTTCAACAGTTTTGTCATTGGAGGCTCTGTTTTTCCCCACAAGAGGATCCACAAGGCTTCTTGGGTATCACCGGAGGGAGTGACGGAGAACCATGTAGATCCTTTTCTTATCTCTCGTAGGTTCAAGCGTTCACTGGAAGAATTCACAGTACAGAGAGGGGCAGATGTTGAATCGGGTCATCATCTGCTGTTAGCAAACCTCAAGCTTCGTCTTAAAAAAAGCAGGGAACCAGAACAGGAGGAAATTCCAAGTAAATCTCGTAGGTGGACACAAGAAAGAGGAGTTTCAACTGCAGTTGAGGAACAGATTTCAATCCTTTGCAGATCTTGGTGAGGAGGACATGGAGGTGGAGATACACTGGACCGGGGTCGAAGAAGTATCTATTTACTTCAACATGTCAAGAAATACTCGGCGAGAAGAAACTGGAGCATAAGGAATGGATGAGCCAAAGGTCATTAGATTTAATTAGCACTAGAAGACAATTGAAAGCTGAGACAAATGCAAGTAGAACAAGGGGATCAAAAGTTGACGCTTGGGAGCAGTACAGGACAACATCTAAAGATGTAGAGAGATAATTGAGAAAAGACAAGGAGGAATTCATGAACAGGTAGGCAGAGAGGGCGGAGGAGGCAGCAGCAGGAGGGAACATGTTAATCCTTTACCAGACTACAAAGACTCTTTCTGGGAAAAATGGGAAACCAGAAGTAACAGTAAAGGACCAAGAGGGAAAAACCATTCTTGGAAAGGAAGCTCAGTCAAGACGATGGGTAGAGCATTTCAACAGTCCCCTGGACAGACCACCACCAAGTTACCCGCCAAAGATCCTACCAGCAAGAAATGCTTTACCTGTCAGTTGTGATGCTCAATCGAAACAAGAGATTCTGGATACCATTAAGAAGCTAAACAACGGTAAAGCGGCAGGTCCTGATCAGATTCCACCTGAGGCCCTAAAACGATGCCAATGTGACAGCAGACCTCCTTCTCCCATTGTTTACCAGGATCTGGAATGAGAGCAAGTTCCCAAAGGATTGGAAAGAAGGGCACCTTGTGAAACTGCAGCAACTACCGAGGAGTCACTCTTCTCTCAATATCAGATAAGGTCTTCAACAGAATCATTCTGGAGATAATCAAGTCTGCAACAAATCCAAGACTTCGGAATGAACAGGCTGGTTTTCGGAAAAACAGGTCAACCACGGACCAGATTGTCACGCTGAGGATCATAGTAGAACAGTCCCTTGAGTGAAACTCCTAGTTGATCGTCAACATTCTTTACTATGAGAAGGCCTTTGACAGCATAGACCGAGCAACACTGTGGAAGATACTGAGACATCACGGAATCCAACAGAAGTTGGTTAACCTCATAGGGAGCATGTACGAAGGGACAAGTTGCTGGGTTGGTTGTACGTGATGGCCAGCTCACTGGCAGCTTTGACATCAAGACTGGTGTGAGACAGGGCTGCTTACTATCACCTTTCCTCTTTATCTTGGCTGTCGACTGGCTGATGAAGGAAGCCACAAGAGGACAGAGAAACGGCATACACTGGACTCCCATAGACACAGTTGGACGATCTGGACTTTGCAGATGACTTGGCGCTTCTGTCACACACTCAGGAACAGATGCAAGCAAAGACGTCAGTACTAAACAGCCAATCGGAGTCTGTTGGATTGAGGATCCATCACGGAAAGTCAAAAGTCCTACGGATAGATGCACTCTGAAAGGAGTAGGTCACAGTAGAGGGAAATGCACTACAAGATGTCGAATCCTTCTGCTATCTTGGGAGTATAATTGA